TTCGAATGACCCCTGGTGACGCGCCCATGCGTTGTGTCGTACCTGTCTTTGACACCTGTCTGCTGTGTGTTGGATGGTTGTGGTTTGCCTCTCTGTGGTCCAGTGTCATTGAGTTGACTGGTGTCCTTGCTGTGTCTCTCAGCATCCAGATTCCCGATGGATTTGAGACATGTTTGCGCGCTTCCTTACAACTCCCAGTCTCTCTCTCTATATCTACATAATGCCATCGCGATCACGGACACTGTCGGGGTAGTGGGGTATGCCTTCGCCTGCGTTGCGTAATTTGCTCGGGTCTCGTGTGCGGTGTGCCCGCTCGCACCAGACCGCTATGCGGGCAGCTGCGGAGTTTCCTCTGGCATGAACGCAATGCGTCTTCATTTGCGTGCCCATCCTCGTATGCGCCGTCGTACTGGTATGTTGATGAATGTTGCGCTGGGGGGACATCATTTCGATTTGCTAGCCAGCATGGACCCCAACTGCGTGTTCCTAAGAATCTATGTTGTACAATTCGCGTGGTGCTAAATCTGTGGCTCAGTACATGTGGCACAACCTATGTGGTGCAATTAATTTCTGTTCGCAGTGAGTTGTCCACTCCACTGCTCGCGCAAACATCCCGCCCACCCACCCGCAACCTGGTTTGTAAAATTTCTTGAGACCGTGACGGTGGGTACCACATGGCACTTGGCAGCAACAGCGACGCCGACGACGACAGCGACAACGACGATGACGACGCCGCCGACAACGACTACGACGACACCGACGACGCCTCCAACGACTTCGACGACGCCGACGACGACGACGACACCGACGACGACGACGACACCGTCGCCGACGACGACGACGATGACAACGACAACGACGATGACGACGCCGACGACGACGATAACGACGACACCGACGACGACGACGTCAACGACGCCGACGACGACGACGCCGTCGCCGACGACGACGACGAAGACGACGACGACGTCGCCAACGAAGACAACGAGGAAGGAGGGAGGACGACGACGGCGACAACGACGACAGCGACGAGGGAGGAGGGAGGACGGCGACGACGCGAACGACGAAAAAGGAGGAAGGACGGCGACGCCGACGACGGCAACGACGAGGGAGGAGGGAAGACGACGACGACGACAACGACGACGACGACGACGACGGCGGTGACGAAATAGGAGGGACGACGACGAGACGCCGACGACGGACGACGACGACGACGGCGTGGGAGGAGGAGGACGGACGACCACGGCGACAACGACGACGGAAACGACCACGACGCCAAAGAGGACGACGACGACGAACACGAGAAAAGACAGAGGACGACGTAGGCGACGACGACGACGACGACGCGGGAGGAGGGAGGACGGCGACGACGACGAAGACGCAAGAGCGCGCGCGCACGCTTTTGTTGAAAATCCGTATTGCGAAACCTGAGGTTTTTGTAGGTTTGTTGGACGCACGATTTTGAAATCTTTCCGAAACCGATGGGCCTTGAAGGTTTTCGGCATACGCCCACGACGACGCGCGCGTCTGCACTTCGTCACATTTTTTGCAGAGGATTCTCGCGACGGCACACGCACAAGGGCGTTCGACAGATTTCGACATGCGCGCGCGCGAAGCTCGTTGATAGCATGTTGTGAAAATCTTGAAAAACCAATGGTTTTCTTAAGATTTCGCAAGAGCTTGCGCGGACGTTTTTTTAGCAAATCCGTGTTGCGAAACCCTGTGTTTTTGTATGTTTTTTGGAAACTCGATTGCGAAATCCTTCCCGCACCGAAGGTTTTTGAAGGATTTCGGCATGCGCGCGCGACGACGCGCGCGTGCGCACTTCGTCACTTTTTTTGCAAGGGATTCGTGAACAAATGTTATGTTAGAGCAAAAATGTCACCGCATAGTGTTTTTTACAAGGGAACCTCTGGGGGGGGAACCCGGCCTGGCTGGGATGGTACGATGTCATATTTAGGATGGACGAGTGGTCAGAATCATATATGATTTACATTCCCGAAAGGGGAACCGATAAGTCGGGGGGGGGTTAGAGTCTATTCTCCATTTAGAAAGGAGAATTGATTTCTACCCATGATGTGACATATCTCATGCTCTTGCAAACATCCCACCCGCCCACCCGCAACTTGGTTTGAAAAACCTCTTAAGACCGTGACGGTAGGTTCCGAATGGCATTTGGCAACGACACCGGCGCCGACGACGACGACAACGCCGACGACGACTACGACGACACCGACAACGTCTCCGACGACTTCGACGACGACGACAACGACGACGACGACACCGACGACGACGACGACGACGCCGACGCCGACGACGACGACAACGACGACGATGACGACGCCGACGACGACGACGACGCCGACGACAAGACGTCGACGACGCCGACGACGACGTCGACGACGACGACGACGACGGCGACGACGACGACGCCGACGTCGACGACGACGACAACGACGCCGACGCCGACGCCGACGCCGCCGCCGACGACGACGACGACGTCGCCAACGAAGACGACGACGACGAGCGAGGAGGGATCACGACGACGGCGACATTCAAAGGGCGAATAACGGTATAACATAAACTTTTTCGCCGTCGGGGACACCTGCCCCAGGGCGGCTGGGAAGTTTATACCCTTACACGCCGGTCGTTGAAAGTAGGTATTTTTGGATTCCCAGATCCAAATCTACTTCAAACGCCTTCCTACTTCAAGAATCGACATGCTTTTGCTGTTTTTTGTTGTTCTCTGGGAGGACCTGGGCCCAATCTACTTTATCCGCCTTCCTACTTCATGTCTTTACCTACTTCTTCCGACCGACGTGTACGGTGGCACTGTACGGGTATAAACTTTCCAGCCGCCCAGGGGCAGGTGTCCCCGACGGCGAAAAAGTTTATTTTATACCGTTCTTCGCTCGCTGAGACAAGGACGACAACGACGAGGGAGGAGGGAGGACGGCGACGACGCGAACGACGAAGAAGGAGGGAGGACGGCGACGCCGACGACGACAACGACGAGGGAGGAGGGAAGTCGACGACGACGACGACGACGACGACGGCGACGAAATAGGAGGGACGACGACGAGACGCCGACGACGGACGACGACGACGACGTGGGAGGAGGAGGAAGGACGACCACGGCGACAACGACGACGGAAACGACCACGACGCCAAAGAGGAGGACGACGACGAACACGAGGAAAGACAGGACGACGTAGGCGACGCCGACGACGACGACGCGGGAGGAGGGAGGACGGCGACGACGACGACGACGCAAGAGCGCGCGCGCACGCTTTTGTTGAACATCCGTGTTGCGAAATCTTGTGTTCTTGTAGGTTTTTTGGACACGATTTTGAAATCCTTCCGAAACCGATGGGTTTTGAAGGTTTTCGGCATACGCGCGCGACGACGCGCGCGTCTGCACTTCGTCCCACTTTTTGCAGAGGATTCTCGCGACGGCACACGCGCAAGGGCGTTCGACAGATTTCGACATGCGCGCGCGCGAAGCTCGTTTGATAGCATGTTGTGAAAATCTTGAAAAACCAATGGTTTTCTTAAGATTTCGCCAGAGCTCGCGCGGGGAAGCTTTTTCAGCAAATCAGTGTTGTGAAACCCTGTGTTTTGGTATGGTTTTTGGAAACTCGATTGCGAAATCCTTCCGGCACCGAAGGTTTTTGAAGGATTTCGGCATGCGCGCGCGACGACGCGCGCGTGGGTGCATGTCGTCTTTTTTTGCAAGGGATTCGCGAACAAGTCTTATGTTATAGCAAAAACTGTCACTGCGTATCGTGTTTTACAAGGGAACCTCAAGGGGTCGATCCCGGCCCCTCTGGGATAGTGTAAACTCATCTTTAGGATTTGGTGGTCTCCAAACCATGTGGTGAGACACCCGGTGGTGACCCCGATTCCCCCCAAAAATAGTTCTGGGTCACCACCGGGTTTGGGGACACGCGGTCGCCACGAGGTTTTGCGTTTCCTGGGCCAGCCAGCGCTCGAAAACCATTACCCAAATCGCCCAAAACTCACCACCGGGTGTTCTCACCACCACGTTTGGGGACCACCAAAGGATGGACATGTGGTCAGAATCATATATGATTTACGTACCCGAAAGGGGGGGATAACGCCGGGGGGGTAGAGTCTATTGTCTTTTTAGAAAAGAGAATCTATGTTGTGCATGTCGCTGCGTGGGGGGCGGGCGGCGACGAGGCGGCGACGGGGCGGCGACGGCGACCACATAGCCGCCAAAGCGGCGCACTGGCCCAGACGACGAACGGCGAAAAGGCGGCGACGGGGCGGCTACGGCGACTGCATCGCCGCCAGAGCGGCACGCTAGCTCAATTCTTGAGGAGTGTCGTGCGAACCCATGAGTGCGAGCATTTTGGAGAATGAATAATCATCAGCGTGCTGAGACTGAGTGTGCGACCTTTTTGGCCATTCCCCGCCACACTTGCCACCGTGGTTCGCCACGGCCGCCCACCGCGCTCTGGCCCTGCGCGCGTGGCTGCTGCTGCCCGCCGGCTGCTCATTGTCGAGTTCTTCGGCGTCAGAGCGTCCGTCCTTCCTCTCGGCCTCCCCCTTTCCTCCTTGCACGCCGGCCAATTCGCGAGTGAGTGCCCTTATCTAGCTGTTCGCTGGAGCGGATTTCGTTGCCTCGCCGTTGACGAAAAACGACCTTTTTGGTAATCCCTCGCGCGCTGAAAGCCCACGCCGCCAGCGGAGGAAATTAGTGCGCGCACAGAGTGCTGTCGCTGTTCTCGCCTCTCTCCACTGTGCCCGTCGACCCTGCCGCGCGTAGCTTGTCGCGGAGGTCAGCCCAGCAAAATCTTTATTCAGAAGCCGACGGCATGTTCAGACGAAAAGTGCCGTCGGCAGGATCTCTTCGGCTCTCGTCGTGTCCACGCTGGGAAGGCTGCGCGATTCTTTGGCTTGCTTTCGCAGGGGTCCTGGGCATTTTCGACAGCCGCACCACATGTACTCTGATACACATGTCCTTCCTTTCTCAG